ACTCGCGTGAAGTTCTTTTCACACTTCTTGTCATTCTTCCACTCTACCTCTCTTCTTATTTTTAACTTCTTTTCCCCTTTTCGTCTTGATTTTAACACTCTTCTGGAGTTGTTTTTCACCCATTTTTTTATATATATTATTATTGGTAGTTTTATATGCTTATTATTATTATGATTATTTACCTTTAGTCAATTTTATATGTTTACTAACAAGATATTTACACGTCATGAGAGCTATTCACATAATTTTTATTGACACCTGCATAGCTCAGGTATATACACCTGTCCTTGAGTAAACATTAGACTTTTTTTTAAATATTCTGTCCTTTTTTTAATCAACTACATTCCTTTCATTCCTTCAATACGTAAATAATCACGTTCCTTTTAAATTCAGAGCGCGTTGACCACCTGTCCAGCAAGTGGCTTAACGATAGGCGAGGTTGGTGTGTAAATTCAATTACTTCAGCGTTTTCCAATACACGATGTACTTCGATACGCGATTATTTTGCTTTTGGGCAATGTAGGACAAACTTGATATATTCCGGTATAGTAGAGTCTGGTTCGTTCTCGACGCACACTCGAGAATTCCGGGTTCGAATCCCGGGTGGGACAGAAATGGTTGGGCACAACCCATCCTAAAACAATAATTTTAGGATGGGATGTATATCATACAGAACGGGAGACATCTCCCGTCACGCAGGGTGCAGTCGCACCTCCACAGATCTCCAGTATCAGCTCTTGATACTGGTAATGGCTCAAAAGGGGCCAACACTTACGGGCTATTCATGCCCGTGCCACCTTTTGGGTGGCTTAATCTTCATCAATCATCATACAGAAAGCTAGCAGAGCAGTTAGAAACCCCTAGACCTGGGTTAGCACCCTGTACCGTCCCAATACACTATGTTAGCGATAAATGCTAGCACTTAAAGCCAGGTTAGCGCCCCATATAGCAAGTTAGCACCGCAAGCTAGCACTCGTCACTAATTCATAACTATACACCAAGCTATCTTGAGATGATTTCAGGGCTTAGCGTCCCCGCGGCCCGGGCCTCGACCAGGCCTCCTTTTTGTTACACCCCCCCCCCAGGAAGCAGCCCGTAGCAGCTGTCTAACTCCCAGGTACTATTTACTGCTAGGTAACAGGGGACATCAGAGTGAAAGAAACTCAGCCCATTTGTTTCCGCCTCCACCGGGATCGAACCCTGACCTTTAGGACTACGAATTTCAAGCGCTGTCCACTCCGCCGTCAGGCCCTCGAACGAGGCCTGACGTAACTTAAGGGTCAATTTGGGTGCGATAAATGCGATTATATATATATATATATATATATATATATATATATATATATATATATATATATATATATATATATATATATATATATATATATATATATATATATATATTTTGAACCACAAACTTAAATAGAGAATGGTTTACATAAATTAGAATCAAGAATGGTTAATATTGACATGCAGAAATTGTAGGGAGAAAAATCTAAGCATTCTATCACTATACAAAAAGCTAGCCCCCCCCCCCCCATAAAAAATTGTTTTCATATAATCATAATTAAACAGCATTCAACCATTGAAGGTCGTAAACGCTATGGCGACGTGTTGTGGGTAAACTCCTCCATCAGCATGCGAGGTTCCATCCTCAAGATACATGGAGTAAAACACACACGTTGTTAAACCAAACTCAATCGGCCGAGAGCCTAATTGGTCACCTAGCCAGTCACAGTTAGCAAATCAGTTAAGGTAACCAGTTAATTTAATGGGGGGGGGGAATAAAATTATTTTTAAATCATTCAAAAATGCAGATCTCTAGAGCGGAAGACTCAAATCCACTTATTCAACTAGTCAGCCTAATGGACAATGATGTTACTACTTGCCAGTAACTAATTTGGTGGGCAGAAGATGCGTTACATCTTATCTAATCTGTATCGAAGCTAGACTTAATGTTGTGGATGAAGAGGGTTTCCAAAACTTTCAGGAAACCTTTATCGAGCCCCCCCCTCCCTCACCCTTAGGTCAAACTACTGACCTTCACCAGAGATGTAACCTACAAAATACGGGATCACCATAGCCCGTGCTGCTTGGGACTTTTTTGTTCCAGATAGCGAATCTTAAACAACAACAATAACCTACAAAAATTGCCTTTCTCCCGGGTACCAACTTCCTGCTGGATTAACAGGTGCATCAGGTGAAAGGAAACTTACCCAGCGATTCCTGGCCTCTCCCGGGGATCGAACCCAGGATTCCCGACTGCGAGTCAAGAACAAAGACCACTGCACGACTCGATCCTCGTATACATTTGTTTGGAAGTTGGTGGATTAAATATTTACCAGAGGTCCGGTTGATGTATGACAATGATCCATCATAAATACTGATGCGGCGTATGTATAACTGCAGCACTATATGTATAACTATAATGATTGTATACGCTGGTAATGGCTTATACATGCTAGCAAGTTGTATATACATATATATTGGTGGAGGGCTATATATATGCTATTAAGGTTTTGAAAAACTCACCATTTGGTCACCACTTGGTCCGGGAGACATCTCCCGTCACGCAGGGTGCAGTTGCGCCTCCACAGATCTCCAGTATCATCTGTTGATACTGGTAATGGCTCGAAAGGGCCACCACTTACGGGCTATTCATGCCCGTGCCACCTCTTGGGTGGCTTAATCTTCATCAATCAATCAATCTTTGAAAAACTAAATCGACTTGTGTGGGGACAAAAATTTGCCCCCACACAGCCGGTCGGCCGAGCGGACTTGTGATCCTGTGGTCCCGGGTTCGATCCCGGGCGCCGGCGAGAAACAATGGGCAGAGTTTCTTTCACCCTATGCCCCTGTTACCTAGCAGTAAAATAGGTACCTGGGTGTTAGTCAGCTGTCGCGGGCTGCTTCCTGGGGGGTGAAGGCCTGGTCGAGGACCGGGCCGCGGGGACACTAAAGCCCCGAAATCATCTCAAGATAGATAACCACACACAATCTGGTCCAGAATCCTTCATGACTGTATTACCATTCTCTGCTTCAGTCATCAACGTTTCTGAGATAGGCTAATGATGATTGTTTTATGGATACCCCTGCAGCCACAACACCCTAAAACGCCATATTTACGGCTTTCCTTGAATTTATGCAACAATGCATTGAAGAAAAGACAGAAAAATCGTCGTGATTTCATTACAAATCCAACGTAGATCTGTTGCGTTAAATTTCTTAAATGATTTATCTTAAAATGCAACTTAATATTGGGGATGTGACTTTTGATTCCCATTCACGGGTGTGGCCACAGGGATGTATTCTGAGGGATGTATTCCTGGGGATGTGAGTGTATTATTAGACACTGGCTGGTGATTGCTCAGCTGTTCACTAAAGCCTCGCGTGTGTTCTGAAAAATTCGTAGAAACAAACTAAGATAAGACGAACATGTGGCACTGTGCCTCTGGCCTCAGTGCCACTGCAAACAAATTAGCTAATGATGGCTCTAACCACGTCTGCAAACAGCTAGCAATCTTCAGGACCTCGTTAGCGGCCTGTGCAAGCCGAGGATTCCACCCAGCTGCCCACACCACCCAGCTGCCCACACCAGCCAGCTCACCACACCACCCACTTGTACTTCGCTCTATCTTAAAACCACCACCAACAATTAGTGTGTGTTGTCAAAAGGAGAATTCATGATCAGATGACTTGAGATGAAGCATGCAAGATTGTCTCGATAGCGAGCAGGGCTAGAGAGTCACTACAATAAGATGGACACAAACTTTTCAGTCGCTACTGTTTTCATCAGAAGATAATATTTCGAGCAATTATCTTCTTGGTAAAAGCCTAGAGATAAGTTTCTCTAAGGTGATCTTGTCATAGTCTTCCCTCGCGAGTGATTAGTACGACAAATGTATCGGGTAATTCAGCGAAATTCGACATTCCTGCAGGTATCCCAACCGACACTATACCTTGTTCTGCTGTTCTACCTTGTCTACTGTCAGGCACTATACCTGCCTTCCTGTAGGCCGACAGGGAGGGTGGTCTATCAAGGATACGTGGACAAGGATACAGACACAGGATCCGTCAACCTAACAAGGATATATTTGTGAATGCAATATATTAATATTCCTCTTGCTATACTGTCATTTGCGTCCCCTTATACCGCGGTTCATGGTGCATTTACGAAACATTGACTCTGGTGAGAGTTCATCAACAACAAAATGGTCTGTTATGGTCTGATTCCTTTGCTACAGTCACGACAGTACAACTCGTCTTTTGATTTGATCATCAAGCTGGTTAGTCACAGACATGAACTCAGATATAATAGACATGGTCTTATTTCCAAAGCAGCAACCTGTTCTCAGAACAGGCTCGTTAAAGCAGCGGTCATTCCCTAAGACGCATTTATCAGTGTTAATGTATTGTGAATTAAAAATAGGTTTCTTCTCATATATAAACGTTATTCATTAAGGGCCATAGTTTGGCGTAGGTTAGGTTAGGTGTTTAGGTTCTGCTCGCGATTATTTGTACTTGAACGTATGTGAAGCACTTACAGAGTTGTGATTCAGACCACTGGAATGAACTTGGTCTGTGGACGGGTTGGGTGTGTCAACCGTTTTCATTCACAAACGGGGCTAGGCGGCTGAATTAACGAACAATTGGTCTTTCTTGTTGAGGAGGAGTAGCTTAGAGGCTGGAAAACACATTAGAAGCAAAAAATTAAGCCTTTTTTCACCCCCCAGTTCAGAAGTTATGAGAGACTGAAGTTTCGCATAGCGGCCACTTAGTCCTTTGACGATTTTAGTCCCCAGGTTGTCAAACAAGACGATAGAAAACCAAATGTTACTTTCAAAATACAATAACAGGTTGGATAAAGCGGTTAGCCAACCATTCTTCAAAAAAGTTTTCCAACTTTTTTGGAGAATGAGGCAGAATTTGATGTACAGTTGTCGCATTTTCCGACAACTGTACAAGTCATACTCGGCGGTAAGCAGCGAAGAACCACTGCGATGGCTTCATATTTTGAGCAGTTGAAGGCGCAAGGTAAAGAGCAGAGTTGCGAGGCTGTAAACACAGCCTAGATCCTGTTTACCCCCCCCCCCCACACACACACACTTCTTACCACTCACACTTCTCATCATTACGACCATTTCATAGCTCACACCTCCCTTATTTACTCGGCACAAATTAAAGGCAAATGTGTGTTTTATGAACAGGTGTTATGGCCAGGTGGGGGTGGGTGGAGCCAGCCGGGACACCCCTACTGGTCGAGGCTTCCCTCCAGTGTGGTTAAATGTGGTGAAGCTTCAGCAGTAACACAGTGTGGCGTCCTCGCCTCCCGTTCCACCGTCGCGTCTTCTTCAGCCAGTCCTTCGTGATCGTGATAGTGGTGCGAGGAGCCCGTGTACTGCCCACTCTCGCCCCTCCAGGTGAGACGGGCGTTGGAGTACGGTAATACCAGTCACAGGTGGGGTGTCTGTGTGCTGGTACACTCACGGCGGCTCTATGGTGTCCTTGTCGTATCATGTGACCGTTTGGTTGTGCTGGGATGAGTTAAAGTCGTCACATTTTAGTTTCATCTTTTTCAAAACGACATTTTGGCTTTTGAGGAAAGACTCGTCCAGCTCTCTAAGAAGTTTCTCTTACAACTAAGAATCCTGGGTTCGATCCTCGGGCAGGACAGAAACGGCTGGGCACATCTAACTCGGGAGTTACGAGGAACTGTTGTGGGTTGTATATTAGGAAAGATCAGTAGTTAGCCTAGAGGGACTTCGATAAGCCTAAAAGGCTTTCAGTCGCGGACCACGGGGAACCATGTTACCATCTGTGAAGTCTGCACCGCAGAGTGAAATCCTTCAGGTCTTAAAACATTCAAATCCCTCTTCAATTAATCCATTCCTGTAACAACAGTGCCGAGTCATTGTTCGCCTCGCGTCTGTAGTTTGGTGCTGCACATCACCGAACACTTCACCGACGGTAACGCCATCAGCCTTAACCAGATTGGAGCAGTATTGATATAGAACCAGATATGGAACCAGATATGGAACAGTATTAGAACAGTAACCAGATATGGCGCCCAGTATTCCAATTTCATTTTTATAAGTATCTATAGGTATCATTTTTGCTCAGCTGGAAAGTTAGCGAAATGTATAAATCAAATTTAGAATCCCATTTGCGCCACCTGTGTTTGCACGAGGCGTTTACCAACGACAATAAAACAGCGTGAAGCATGCGGTGTTTGGGAGCTTTAGCGAACACGGTACCGAGTACAGCAACACAGACGAACACCAACATCACAGGACAATAGTTATGATCGAAAACGTACGGTAAATTACAATGGATAGGAGGACTGTGGCGAAAGATAAAGGTGATGATGATGTACTGGCATCCTGTCCCACAGGTGGAGGTTGACCAACACCGTGGTAGGGATGAGGACTCACCGCCTACCAGCGTCGGGGCTCGTCGCGTCCCTCCTGCTGCTGCTCCTTCTACATGAGGTGAGTGAGTTGGCAACTCACAAATTCATAATTTCTGATTTGTTTAGTTCCGTGGTTATCTTTAGTTGTTTAGTTTTAGGAAGTCATTAACCGTTTAGTTGATGCATATGGCGGTTTCATGGGCAAGATGTCAAGGTTTTAAACACTCCACCTTTCACCATCGTCATAAACACACCAATTGTCCTCCCCGACACGCGGCCATATGCCACAAATACTAGTCCTGGCACGAAGAGTATCCTCACGCCATCAATGTGAGCTAATACACGTAAAGGAGACCTTCACAAACGCTTCTAGTGCCTAGCGTGTAGGTGTGTGTGGCTTGCGAGGCCTTCTCCCATGGCAGTAGAGTAGGATGCATGACCAAGCAGATCACAGACCTTGGGCCAGATTCACGAAGCAGTTACGCAAGCACTTACGAACCTGTACATCTTACCTCAATCTTTGGCGGCTTTGTTTACAATTATTTAACAGTGAATGAGCTCCGAAGCACCAGGAGGCTGCTTATAACAATAACAACAGTTGATTGGGAAGTTTTCATGCTTGTAAACTGTTTAATAAATGTAACCAAAGCCGTCAAAGATTGAGGAAAGATGTACACGTTCGTAAGTACTTGCGTAACTGCTTCGTGAATCTAAGCCCCCTTGTGAGTGCACACAGAGATGCACACTCGGTAGTGAACCTTCAGAAACTAACCCCAGCAAGGTTGCCCATTATCCCTTATCCTCCACCTGCCTAGACAACTAGAAAACTGTATTATGCTTATTTTTTATACAAGAGACTTCACTACATCACTGGTTACAGGCGGAATGTCTAATGTGATCCATGTGAAAATGCTGTATCCTATCACTGCAAATTTTGTTGTAAATTTGGTATACAGTAAATCAGTAGTGTTTGACCCAATATTTCCCAACACAGGGCTCTTCAAACTGAATACCAATCAGTCCAAAGCATCAACTATGGAAATAATCGCCCAACATTCACAGTGTTCCGCGAAAATTATTTCAACAGTAAAGCCATAGACAAGAAAGTAAAGAAAAAGAGCTCCATCATAGATACACAAAATTTATAATAAAGCCTTTTCATTTTTCACTCCCTCGTACACGCCACAGCCACGCCACTACCACATCAGAGTCACTAACCAGTCTGTACAACAACACCAGCAAGACCTCACACATCATCTCTACAACAACTGACAACTAACCCAATGATTCCAAAACATTTACGCAAGTAGTGCTTGGAATCTTTCGTTGATGGTGTTAACGAAAAATTAGAATCTCTATAAATAGATCCTCCAAGCGCTTGCCGTTATTGCTATAGGTTGGTCATAAGTACCAACGCTGTCAAGGCAAAAGAACGCGAACTCGGGTCACTTGATACGTGTCTCTATCTCCCCCACAGTCCGCCCACGCCACCCAGACGGAGTGGATACCTCTTCTTCAGCAGTTTCCCGTCCAACTGTATGGTAAGAACACTTGACGCACATCGTCTGTCGTCTGACTGTACGGTAAGAGAGACTGACTAACGTCGATTCACCACCCAACTGTTCAGTAAGAGTACTTGCCGTACGTCGCTTCTTATCCCCTGTGCGGTAAGAGACTTAAACGCAAGTCGTTTGTCGCCCGACTGGTTGATAAGTTAGCTTGATGTTCGTTGTTTCCCGCTCGACTGTGCGATACAAGTGTTTGACGCACGTCGTTTCTCGGTTAAGTGTAATTTTTCACGTGAATATTTTATTACGTGTATTATTGCTACAGTTCAATATACAAGAATATCTTCCCCAGATAAACTGATTTTGTGGAGGACATTTTGTGTATTAATATACTAGGAGGGGTATCCGGCGGTTCCCGGGGTAGTCTGTTGCCCCCATTCCACCCATCTTCTTCCCTCCCTCTCCCTACATCGCTCCTCTTCCCACTTTCCTTCTCACTCCCCTCCTTTCATCTTCCCATTTTCCCCTCTTCTCCCCTCCATCTTCAGGCACATTTATAAACATATATATATAGAAGGGGGTATCCGGCTGCACCCGGGTCTCTTTCCCCTCTTTTCCTACCTTCCCCCACTCTTCACCATATCTCCCCCTTCATCCCTTCCCTCGTCCTATTCCCCCCCCCCTTCTCTTTCCCTTCCCCCGCTCCCCCTTCCTCAGAAATTTTACCAAGAAGCACTGAAACAAATGCAGAGGTCTCTCAGAAAATATATTATTCGTATCAATAAAAAGTCTAGCGCCAAGTGTCAGGCTTGGGGCTAGACTCGCCCAACTTTGCAGGGTGAGTGGGAGGGGGTGCTGACCAACATGGGCGGGTGGGGTAGACCCAATTGCTAAAAATGTACCCAATTGCATTAAAAGGGAGTCAGCTTCCATTGCGACGTCTACACCATGTATATAAACTAGAGCAGGGACTGTTAATGGGTTATCTGGCATGCCCTTCCCCCCCCCCCCTCCATGGCCCAATCTTCTGGGATCTGCCTGGCCATCAGTAACCCCCTTCTAGTTTCAAATACACCACACACATCACCATCCAAATTGATCTAGCATTCAAAACTGTGTATTTAATACGTCCTGTAAATGATGACAGGCTCGCAAATGTTGACAACTAATAGGGATAATTCAAAACTGTATCTACACTGAGCTAAATGTCATTATCATCATTGTATTATTGTAAATCTATATAAATATTTTATGTTTAGTAAGACGCTCGTACAGCATCAACACAGTCCTGACTGACAAGTGTTTTCATTTTAATTTAATGAAGTGGAGCGCACGATAGATGCTCGATGTAAAACTCTGTTCTAACTTTCAGATCTGGGGGTAACTGGGAGCCAAAATACAAGCTGCAACAGCAGTACAGACAACCCAGAGCTGCAGCAGGTATTCAGGTCGTACGACACCGTCTCCCAGAGAGCAGAGCAACTGTCGGACCTGGTCGCAGAGGCCTGCTCCGACCCATCGACGACCAAGAGATGGCAAGATATATACGAGGCAACTTCAGAGCTAAAGAATTTGCTCGAAGACCTTCAGGACAGCCTGCCGAAGGTCGTGAGCGAAATAAACGAAGGAAGCAGTAGCTGTCCTACAGCCGAGACGCGCCTGGTACAGTTGGACGTGACTTATGGGGATGAAACAACTGGCTCACATGGCTCGGGACTCTACGTGGACATGCGAACAGAAACGATCACCAAGAAAGGCTGCTCGCAGACCAACACTTTCAGAAACATGATGCCGGCGCTTAGAGGATACACAGACAGTGAGGGAGATCCATGTCTGCTTATAACATCCACGACAACATTGCCGATATCGAGTACGACGCCAGGTTCTTCAAAGGGAACCACTACCGCTGTAACGCAACCAACATCATCATCATTTACAGAAACGACAACACAAGAATCAGAAGTTACATCAACACCCCAAAGAAATCAAACTGAACCTGCAGAAAGTACCCCAGCATCACAGTCCGGAACTACAATTGCAGGAACTACACCAACGGCTGAAGAAACTACCACAACAGCAAAATCCGGAACAACACCTAGAGGAACAACAAAGTCTCAAGGAAGTACGACAATATCTCAATCTGGAACAACAACACAAGGAACGACATCTCAACCTGAGCAATATAATACAACTACAAGATCCGGAACTACAGGAACTACACCAGAACCTGAGATATATACTACAACATCCGGAACTACAACTACAGGAACTACACCAAAACCTGGGATATATACTACAACATCGGGAACTACAAGTACTGCATCAGGAACAACAACAACATCTCAAGGAACCACTTCTCAATCTGGACAATATAATACAACTACAAGATCCGGAACTACAGGAACTACACCAGAACCTGAGATAAATGATACAACATCAGGAACTACAGGTACTGCATCAGGAACAACAACAACATCTCAAGGAACCACTTCTCAATCTGGACAATATAATACAACTACAAGATCTGGAACTACAACTACAGGAACTACACCAGAACCTGAGACATATACTACAACATCCGGAACTACAGGTACTGCATCAGGAACAACAACAACATCTCAAGGAACCACTTCTCAATCTGGACAATATGATACAACTACAAGATCTAGAACTACAACTGCAGGAACTACACCAGAACCTGAGATAGATACTACAACATCCGGAACTACAAGTACTGCATCAGGAACAACAACAACATCTCAAGGAACCACTTCTCAATCTGGACAATATAATACAACTACAAGATCCGGAACTACAACTGCAGGAACTACACCACAACCTGAGATATATACTACAACATCAGGAACTACAGGTACTGCATCAGGAACAACAACAACATCTCAAGGAACCACTTCTCAATCTGGACAATATAATACAACTACAAGATCTGGAACTACAACTACAGGAACTACACCAGAACCTGAGATAGATACTACAACATCCGGAACTACAGGTACTGCATCAGGAACAACAACAACATCTCAAGGAACCACTTCTCAATCTGGACAATATGATACAACTACAAGATCTAGAACTACAACTGCAGGAACTACACCAGAACCTGAGATAGATACTACAACATCCGGAACTACAGGTACTGCATCAGGAACAACAACATCATCTCAAGGAACCACTTCTCAATCTGGACAATATGATACAACTACAAGATCTAGAACTACAACTGCAGGAACTACACCAGAACCTGAGATAGATACTACAACATCCGGAACTACAAGTACTGCATCAGGAACAACAACAACATCTCAAGGAACCACTTCTCAATCTGGACAATATAATACAACTACAAGATCCGGAACTACAGGAACTACACAAGAACGTGAGATATATACTACAACATCCGGAACTACAGGTACTGCATCAGGAACAACATCATCATCTCAAGGAACCACTTCTCAATCTGGACAATATGATACAACTACAAGATCTAGAACTACAACTGCAGGAACTACACCAGAACCTGAGATAGATACTACAACATCCGGAACTACAAGTACTGCATCAGGAACAACAACAACATCTCAAGGAACCACTTCTCAATCTGGACAATATAATACAACTACAAGATCCGGAACTACAGGAACTACACAAGAACGTGAGATATATACTACAACATCCGGAACTACAGGTACTGCATCAGGAACAACATCATCATCTCAAGGAACCACTTCTCAATCTGGACAATATGATACAACTACAAGATCTAGAACTACAACTGCAGGAACTACACCAGAACCTGAGATAGATACTACAACATCCGGAACTACAAGTACTGCATCAGGAACAACAACAACATCTCAAGGAACCACTTCTCAATCTGGACAATATAATACAACTACAAGATCTGGAACTACAACTACAGGAACTACACCACAACCTGAGATATATACTACAACATCCGGAACTACAGGTACTGCATCAGGAACAACAACAACATCTCAAGGAACCACTTCTCAATCTGGACAATATAATACAACTACAAGATCTGGAACTACAACTACTGGAACTACACCACAACCTGAGATATATACTACACCATCCGGAACTACAGGTACTGCATCAGGAACAACAACAACATCTCAAGGAACCACTTCTCAATCTGGACAATATAATACAACTACAAGATCCGGAACTACAGGAACTACACCAGAACCTGAGATAAATGATACAACATCAGGAACTACAGGTACTGCATCAGGAACAACAACAACATCTCAAGGAACCACTTCTCAATCTGGACAATATAATACAACTACAAGATCTGGAACTACAACTACAGGAACTACACCAGAACCTGAGACATATACTACAACATCCGGAACTACAGGTACTGCATCAGGAACAACAACAACATCTCAAGGAACCACTTCTCAATCTGGACAATATAATACAACTACAAGATCTGGAACTACAACTACAGGAACTACACCAGAACCTGAGATAGATACTACAACATCCGGAACTACAGGTACTGCATCAGGAACAACAACAACATCTCAAGGAACCACTTCTCAATCTGGACAATATGATACAACTACAAGATCTAGAACTACAACTACAGGAACTACACCAGAACCTGAGATAGATACTACAACATCCGGAACTACAGGTACTGCATCAGGAACAACAACATCATCTCAAGGAACCACTTCTCAATCTGGACAATATGATACAACTACAAGATCTAGAACTACAACTGCAGGAACTACACCAGAACCTGAGATAGATACTACAACATCCGGAACTACAAGTACTGCATCAGGAACAACAACAACATCTCAAGGAACCACTTCTCAATCTGGACAATATAATACAACTACAAGATCCGGAACTACAGGAACTACACAAGAACGTGAGATATATACTACAACATCCGGAACTACAGGTACTGCATCAGGAACAACAACATCATCTCAAGGAACCACTTCTCAATCTGGACAATATGATACAACTACAAGATCTAGAACTACAACTACAGGAACTACACCAGAACCTGAGATAGATACTACAACATCCGGAACTACAAGTACTGCATCAGGAACAACAACAACATCTCAAGGAACCACTTCTCAATCTGGACAATATAATACAACTACAAGATCCGGAACTACAGGAACTACACCAGAACGTGAGATATATACTACAACATCCGGAACTACAGGTACTGCATCAGGAACAACATCATCATCTCAAGGAACCACTTCTCAATCTGGACAATATGATACAACTACAAGATCTAGAACTACAACTGCAGGAACTACACCAGAACCTGAGATAGATACTACAACATCCGGAACTACAAGTACTGCATCAGGAACAACAACAACATCTCAAGGAACCACTTCTCAATCTGGACAATATAATACAACTACAAGATCCGGAACTACAACTACAGGAACTACACCAGAACCTGAGATATATACTACAACATCCGGAACTACAGGTACTGCATCAGGAACAACAACAACATCTCAAGGAACCACTTCTCAATCTGGACAATATAATACAACTACAAGATCCGGAACTACAACTACAGGAACTACACCAGAACCTGAGATAGATACTACAACATCCGGAACTACAGGTACTGCATCAGGAACAACAACAACATCTCAAGGAACCACTTCTCAATCTGGACAATATAATACAACTACAAGATCTGGAACTACAACTACAGGAACTACACCACAACCTGAGATATATACTACAACATCCGGAACTACAGGTACTGCATCAGGAACAACAACAACATCTCAAGGAACCACTTCTCAATCTGGACAATATAATACAACTACAAGATCTGGAACTACAACTACAGGAACTACACCAGAACCTGAGACATATACTACAACATCCGGAACTACAGGTACTGCATCAGGAACAACAACAACATCTCAAGGAACCACTTCTCAATCTGGACAATATAATACAACTACAAGATCCGGAACTACAACTACAGGAACTACACCAGAACCTGAGATAGATACTACAACATCCGGAACTACAGGTACTGCATCAGGAACAACAACAACATCTCAAGGAACCACTTCTCAATCTGGACAATATGATACAACTACAAGATCTAGAACTACAACTACAGGAACTACACCAGAACCTGAGATATATACTACAACATCCGGAACTACAGGTACTGCATCAGGAACAACAACAACATCTCAAGGAACCACTTCTCAATCTGGACAATATAATACAACTACAAGATCTGGAACTACAACTACAGGAACTACACCAGAACCTGAGATAGATACTACAACATCCGGAACTACAGGTACTGCATCAGGAACAACAACAACATCTCAAGGAACCACTTCTCAATCTGGACAATATGATACAACTACAAGATCTAGAACTACAACTACAGGAACTACACCAGAACCTGAGATAGATACTACAACATCCGGAACTACAGGTACTGCATCAGGAACAACAACATCATCTCAAGGAACCACTTCTCAATCTGGACAATATAATACAACTACAAGATCTGGAACTACAACTACAGGAACTACACCAGAACCTGAGATATATACTACAACATCCGGAACTACAGGTACTGCATCAGGAACAACAACAACATCTCAAGGAACCACTTCTCAATCTGGACAATATAATACAACTACAAGATCTGGAACTACAACTACAGGAACTACACCAGAACCTGAGATATATACTACAACATCCGGAACTACAGGTACTGCATCAGGAACAACAACAACATCTCAAGGAACCACTTCTCAATCTGGACAATATAATACAACTACAAGATCTGGAACTACAACTACAGGAACTACACCACAACCTGAGATATATACTACAACATCCGGAACTACAGGTACTGCATCAGGAACAACAACAACATCTCAAGGAACCACTTCTCAATCTGGACAATATAATACAACTACAAGATCTGGAACTACAACTACAGGAACTACACCAGAACCTGAGATAGATACTACAACATCCGGAACTACAGGTACTGCATCAGGAACAACAACAACATCTCAAGGAACCACTTCTCAATCTGGACAATATAATACAACTACAAGATCTAGAACTACAACTGCAGGAACTACACCAGAACCTGAGATAGATACTACAACATCCGGAACTACAGGTACTGCATCAGGAACAACAACAACATCTCAAGGAACCACTTCTCAATCTGGACAATATAATACAACTACAAGATCTGGAACTACAACTGCAGGAACTACACCAGAACCTGAGATAGATACTACAACATCCGGAACTACAGGTACTGCATCAGGAACAACAACAACATCTCAAGGAACCACTTCTCAATCTGGACAATATAATACAACTACAAGATCCGGAACTACAACTACAGGAACTACACCAGAACCTGAGATATATACTACAACATCCGGAACTACAGGTACTGCATCAGGAACAACAACAACATCTCAAGGAACCACTTCTCAATCTGGACAATATAATACAACTACAAGATCTGGAACTACAACTACAGGAACTACACCACAACCTGAGATATATACTACAACATCCGGAACTACAGGTACTGCATCAGGAACAACAACAACATCTCAAGGAACCACTTCTCAATCTGGACAATATAATACAACTACAAGATCTGGAACTACAACTACAGGAACTACACCAGAACCTGAGATATATACTACAACATCCGGAACTACAGGTACTGCATCAGGAACAACAACAACATCTCAAGGAACCACTTCTCAATCTGGACAATATGATACAACTACAAGATCTGGAACTACAACTGCAGGAACTACACCAGAACCTGAGATAGATACTACAACATCCGGAACTACAGGTACTGCATCAGGAACAACAACAACATCTCAAGGAACCACTTCTCAATCTGGACAATATGATACAACTACAAGATCTAGAACTACAACTGCAGGAACTACACCAGAACCTGAGATATATACTACAACATCCGGAACTACAGGTACTGCATCAGGAACAACAACAACATCTCAAGGAACCACTTCTCAATCTGGACAATATAATACAACTACAAGATCTGGAACTACAACTACAGGAACTACACCAGAACCTGAGATAGATACTACAACATCCGGAACTACAGGTACTGCATCAGGAACAACAACAACATCTCAAGGAACCACTTCTCAATCTGGACAATATAATACAACTACAAGATCTGGAACTACAACTACAGGAACTACACCAGAACCTGAGATAGATACTACAACATCCGGAACTACAGGTACTGCATCAGGAACAACAACAACATCTCAAGGAACCACTTCTCAATCTGGACAATATAATACAACTACAAGATCTGGAACTACAACTACAGGAACTACACCAGAACCTGAGATATATACTACAACATCCGGAACTACAGGTACTGCATCAGGAACAACAACAACATCTCAAGGAACCACTTCTCAATCTGGACAATATAATACAACTACAAGATCTGGAACTACAACTACAGGAACTACACCACAACCTGAGATATATACTACAACATCCGGAACTACAGGTACTGCATCAGGAACAACAACAACATCTCAAGGAACCACTTCTCAATCTGGACAATATAATACAACTACAAGATCTGGAACTACAACTACAGGAACTACACCAGAACCTGAGATATATACTACAACATCCGGAACTACAGGTACTGCATCAGGAACAACAACAACATCTCAAGGAACCACTTCTCAATCTGGACAATATAATACAACTACAAGATCTGGAACTACAACTACAGGAACTACACCACAACCTGAGATATATACTACAACATCCGGAACTACAAGAACGTGAGTACTGCATCAGGAACAACAACAACATCTCAAGGAACCACTTCTCAATCTGGACAATATAATACAACTACAAGATCCGGAACTACAGGAACTACACCAGAACCTGAGATAAATACTACAACATCCGGAACTACAGGTACTGCATCAGGAACAACAACAACATCTCAAGGAACCACTTCTCAATCTGGACAATATGATACAACTACAAGATCTAGAACTACAACTGCAGGAACTACACCAGAACCTGAGATAGATACTACAACATCCGGAACTACAGGTACTGCATCAGGAACAACAACAACATCTCAAGGAACCACTTCTCAATCTGGACAATATAATACAACTACAAGATCCGGAACTACAACTACAGGAACTACACCAGAACCTGAGATATATACTACAACATCCGGAACTACAGGTACTGCATCAGGAACAACAACATCATCTCAAGGAACCACTTCTCAATCTGGACAATATAATACAACTACAAGATCTGGAACTACAACTACAGGAACTACACCACAACCTGAGATATATACTACAACATCCGGAACTACAGGTACTGCATCAGGAACAACAACAACATCTCAAGGAACCACTTCTCAATCTGGACAATATAATACAACTACAAGATCTGGAACTACAACTACAGGAACTACACCAGAACCTGAGATAGATACTACAACATCCGGAACTACAGGTACTGCATCAGGAACAACAACAACATCTCAAGGAACCACTTCTCAATCTGGACAATATGATACAACTACAAGATCTAGAACTACAACTGCAGGAACTACACCAGAACCTGAGATAGATACTACAACATCCGGAACTACAGGTACTGCATCAGGAACAACAACAACATCTCAAGGAACCACTTCTCAATCTGGACAATATGATACAACTACAAGATCTAGAACTACAACTGCAGGAACTACACCAGAACCTGAGATAGATACTACAACATCCGGAACTACAAGTACTGCATCAGGAACAACAACAACATCTCAAGGAACCACTTCTCAATCTGGACAATATAATACAACTACAAGATCTGGAACTACAGGAACTACACAAGAACGTGAGATATATACTACAACATCCGGAACTACAGGTACTGCATCAGGAACAACAACATCATCTCAAGGAACCACTTCTCAATCTGGACAATATAATACAACTACAAGATCTGGAACTACAACTACAGGAACTACACCACAACCTGAGATATATACTACAACATCCGGAACTACAGGTACTGCATCAGGAACAACAACAACATCTCAAGGAACCACTTCTCAATCTGGACAATATAATACAACTACAAGATCTGGAACTACAACTACAGGAACTACACCAGAACCTAAGATAGATACTACAACATCCGGAACTACAAGTACTGCATCAGGAACAACAACAACATCTCAAGGAACCACTTCTCAATCTGGACAATATAATACAACTACAAGATCCGGAACTACAACTACAGGAACTACACCAGAACCTGAGACATATACTACAACATCCGGAACTACAGGTACTGCATCAGGAACAACAACAACATCTCAAGGAACCACTTCTCAATCTGGACAATATAATACAACTACAAGATCTGGAACTACAACTACAGGAACTACACCAGAACCTGAGACATATACTACAACATCCGGAACTACAGGTACTGCATCAGGAACAACAACATCATCTCAAGGAACCACTTCTCAATCTGGACAATATAATACAACTACAAGATCTGGAACTACAACTACAGGAACTACACCAGAACCTGAGATAGATACTACAACATCCGGAACTACAGGTACTGCATCAGGAACAACAACAACATCTCAAGGAACCACTTCTCAATCTGGACAATATGATACAACTACAAGATCTAGAACTACAACTGCAGGAACTACACCAGAACCTGAGATAGATACTACAACATCCGGAACTACAGGTACTGCATCAGGAACAACAACATCATCTCAAGGAACCACTTCTCAATCTGGACAATATGATACAACTACAAGATCTAGAACTACAACTGCAGGAACTACACCAGAACCTGAGATAGATACTACAACATCCGGAACTACAAGTACTGCATCAGGAACAACAACAACATCTCAAGGAACCACTTCTCAATCTGGACAATATAATACAACTACAAGATCTAGAACTACAACTGCAGGAACTACACCAGAACCTGAGATAGATACTACAACATCCGGAACTACAAGTACTACATCAGGAACAACAACAACATCTCAAGGAACCACTTCTCAATCTGGACAATATAATACAACTACAAGATCCGGAACTACAGGAACTACACAAGAACGTGAGATATATACTACAACATCCGGAACTACAGGTACTGCATCAGGAACAACAACATCATCTCAAGGAACCACTTCTCAATCTGGACAATATAATACAACTACAAGATCTGGAACTACAACTACAGGAACTACACCACAACCTGAGATATATACTACAACATCCGGAACTACAGGTACTGCACCAGGAACAACAACAACATCTCAAGGAACCACTTCTCAATCTGGACAATATAATACAACTACAAGATCTGGAACTACAACTACAGGAACTACACCAGAACCTGAGATAGATACTACAACATCCGGAACTACAGGTACTGCATCAGGAACAACAACAACATCTCAAGGAACCACTTCTCAATCTGGACAATATAATACAACTACAAGATCTGGAACTACAACTACTGGAACTACACCACAACCTGAGATATATACTACAACATCCGGAACTACAGGTACTGCATCAGGAACAACAACAACATCTCAAGGAACCACTTCTCAATCTGGACAATATAATACAACTACAAGATCCGGAACTACAGGAACTACACCAGAACCTGAGATAAATGATACAACATCAGGAACTACAGGTACTGCATCAGGAACAACAACAACATCTCAAGGAACCACTTCTCAATCTGGACAATATAATACAACTACAAGATCTGGAACTACAACTACAGGAACTACACCAGAACCTGAGACATATACTACAACATCCGGAACTACAGGTACTGCATCAGGAACAACAACAACATCTCAAGGAACCACTTCTCAATCTGGACAATATGATACAACTACAAGATCTAGAACTACAACTGCAGGAACTACACCAGAACCTGAGATAGATACTACAACATCCGGAACTACAAGTACTGCATCAGGAACAACAACAACATCTCAAGGAACCACTTCTCAATCTGGACAATATGATACAACTACAAGATCTAGAACTACAACTGCAGGAACTACACCAGAACCTGAGATAGATACTACAACATCCGGAACTACAAGTACTGCATCAGGAACAACAACAACATCTCAAGGAACCACTTCTCAATCTGGACAATATAATACAACTACAAGATCCGGAACTACAGGAACTACACAAGAACGTGAGATATATACTACAACATCCGGAACTACAGGTACTGCATCAGGAACAACAACAACATCTCAAGGAACCACTTCTCAATCTGGACAATATAATACAACTACAAGATCTGGAACTACAACTACAGGAACTACACCACAACCTGAGATATATACTACAACATCCGGAACTACAGGTACTGCATCAGGAACAACAACAACATCTCAAGGAACCACTTCTCAATCTGGACAATATAATACAACTACAAGATCTGGAACTACAACTACAGGAACTACACCACAACCTGAGATAGATACTACAACATCCGGAACTACAGGAACTACACAAGAACGTGAGATATATACTACAACATCCGGAACTACAGGTACTGCATCAGGAACAACAACAACATCTCAAGGAACCACTTCCCAATCTGGACAATATAATACAACTACAAGATCCGGAACTACAGGAACTACACCAGAACCTGAGATAAATGATACAACATCAGGAACTACAGGTACTGCATCAGGAACAACAACAACATCTCAAGGAACCACTTCTCAATCTGGACAATATGATACAACTACAAGATCTAGAACTACAACTGCAGGAACTACACCAGAACCTGAGATAGATACTACAACATCCGGAACTACAGGTACTGCATCAGGAACAACAACAACATCTCAAGGAACCACTTCTCAATCTGGACAATATAATACAACTACAAGATCTGGAACTACAGGAACTACACCAGAACCTGAGATAGATACTACAACATCCGGAACTACAGGTACTGCATCAGGAACAACAACAACATCTCAAGGAACCACTTCTCAATCTGGACAATATAATACAACTACAAGATCTGGAACTACAACTACTGGAACTACACCACAACCTGAGATATATACTACAACATCCGGAACTACAGGTACTGCATCAGGAACAACAACAACATCTCAAGGAACCACTTCTCAATCTGGACAATATAATACAACTACAAGATCCGGAACTACAGGAACTACACAAGAACGTGAGATATATACTACAACATCCGGAACTACAGGTACTGCATCAGGAACAACAACATCATCTCAAGGAACCACTTCTCAATCTGGACAATATAATACAACTACAAGATCTGGAACTACAACTACAGGAACTACACCAGAACCTGAGACATATACTACAACATCCGGAACTACAGGTACTGCATCAGGAACAACAACATCATCTCAAGGAACCACTTCTCAATCTGGACAATATAATACAACTACAAGATCTGGAACTACAACTACAGGAACTACACCAGAACCTGAGATAGATACTACAACATCCGGAACTACAGGTACTGCATCAGGAACAACAACAACATCTCAAGGAACCACTTCTCAATCTGGACAATATGATACAACTACAAGATCTAGAACTACAACTGCAGGAACTACACCAGAACCTGAGATAGATACTACAACATCCGGAACTACAGGTACTGCATCAGGAACAACAACATCATCTCAAGGAACCACTTCTCAATCTGGACAATATGATACAACTACAAGATCTAGAACTACAACTGCAGGAACTACACCAGAACCTGAGATAGATACTACAACATCCGGAACTACAAGTACTGCATCAGGAACAACAACAACATCTCAAGGAACCACTTCTCAATCTGGACAATATAATACAACTACAAGATCCGGAACTACAGGAACTACACAAGAACGTGAGATATATACTACAACATCCGGAACTACAGGTACTGCATCAGGAACAACAACAACATCTCAAGGAACCACTTCTCAATCTGGACAATATAATACAACTACAAGATCTGGAACTACAACTACAGGAACTACACCAGAACCTGAGATAGATACTACAACATCCGGAACTACAGGTACTGCATCAGGAACAACAACAACATCTCAAGGAACCACTTCTCAATCTGGACAATATGATACAACTACAAGATCTAGAACTACAACTGCAGGAACTACACCAGAACCTGAGATAGATACTACAACATCCGGAACTACAGGTACTGCATCAGGAACAACAACAACATCTCAAGGAACCACTTCTCAATCTGGACAATATAATACAACTACAAGATCTGGAACTACAACTACAGGAACTACACCAGAACCTGAGACATATACTACAACATCCGGAACTACAGGTACTGCATCAGGAACAACAACAACATCTCAAGGAACCACTTCTCAATCTGGACAATATAATACAACTACAAGATCTGGAACTACAACTACAGGAACTACACCAGAACCTGAGATAGATACTACAACATCCGGAACTACAGGTACTGCATCAGGAACAACAACATCATCTCAAGGAACCACTTCTCAATCTGGACAATATGATACAACTACAAGATCTAGAACTACAACTGCAGGAACTACACCAGAACCTGAGATAGATACTACAACATCCGGAACTACAGGTACTGCATCAGGAACAACAACATCATCTCAAGGAACCACTTCTCAATCTGGACAATATGATACAACTACAAGATCTAGAACTACAACTGCAGGAACTACACCAGAACCTGAGATAGATACTACAACATCCGGAACTACAAGTACTGCATCAGGAACAACAACAACATCTCAAGGAACCACTTCTCAATCTGGACAATATAATACAACTACAAGATCCGGAACTACAGGAACTACACAAGAACGTGAGATATATACTACAACATCCGGAACTACAGGTACTGCATCAGGAACAACAACAACATCTCAAGGAACCACTTCTCAATCTGGACAATATAATACAACTACAAGATCTGGAACTACAACTACAGGAACTACGCCAGAACCTGAGATAGATACTACAACATCCGGAACTACAGGTACTGCATCAGGAACAACAACAACATCTCAAGGAACCACTTCTCAATCTGGACAATATGATACAACTACAAGATCTAGAACTACAACTGCAGGAACTACACCAGAACCTGAGATAGATACTACAACATCCGGAACTACAAGTACTGCATCAGGAACAACAACAACATCTCAAGGAACCACTTCTCAATCTGGACAATATAATACAACTACAAGATCCGGAACTACAGGAACTACACAAGAACGTGAGATATATACTACAACATCCGGAACCACGAAATCAGCTTCGATGTCCACGACCACTGAGCACATAGGCGTGACCACTGGTGGTCTCTCTTCTACCGTCACCCCTACTTCCGGGAACCTTGTCTCCTCTACTCATACCAGGTCCTCGGAAACATCTCCACAGTCGACTGTTTCCCAGATGGCCTCCTCAACTGTGCCCACCGAGAGGACTACGTCAACTTCTAAACCGCAGGAATCTACGAGTTCTGCAGCTTCCACAGAGACGAGCTCCGAGCCAAGCGCCTCTACGAGCCCCACAACGGATGACTGCGTGACCGTACCTCCATCAATAGCTTCAAGGATCAATGCTTTCAACGCCGAGTTATCCCAGTTAAGCATTAAGATCGAAGAAGTTACCACTGAGTTGATCAAGTGCTCAGGTGATAGAGAGAAGCTGGACGAAGTGAAAATTCTCTCGTCGAACCTCCAAACTCTTCTTCAGGAGTTAAACGACATTGAGGCAGAGCTAGAGAGTCTACTGGGATCACGCCGCAGATTCCTTCTGTCTTCCTCCTTACTGACTCTCCTCAACACAGCGAGCACCAGGGCCGGAGGTAGGTCCCTGGTTTGTACTCAACTAGATGTACTCGCAAGCTCGAACATTGTCATTTCCACGTCTCTGATCAGCTAATTACTTCTATCCCTCATGTTTTTGTCTAACTTCCTTTTGAAGCTGGTCACTGAGCTCACTTCAACAACCCTTAAACTATGGTGGTGTTTCCCGACATCCCTCAGGGGTCGTCTCCGCCTCCAGCTTCTACCCGTGTCCTCTAGTCATACCGTTTCTTATATTAAGCATTGACACTAAAAACAGGGAATTCCTCTCAATATTAAAAGCGTGTACCGAGTCCTTCCTACCAATATAAATGCTCAAATGCTTTGGTTACGAACATACTACAGAAATCATAATGCAATAAACCCAAGTCGTATCCTAACATACATGATCTATACACAAATATTTGTTAAATATATTCGCACATGAAAAAAATAACGAAACTTTATTTTTGTATATTTTCCAATTAAATCAGCTTAGGATTTGCTTTTGACACCACAGCCGTATTGTAGGTTTCACATCCCTGATGTTATCCAGTCCTATGATCATGCCACGTCCTGCCACCAACAGTCATGTGTGCCAATAGCGAGAAGAGCCTGACGGAGTCCCTGGAAGGCCTGACCGAAGCCCTGACCTCCCTGACAGCAGACCCCAGCAACGACCAGCTCCAGCAGGAGGTCACCTGCAGCGCCCACAGGACCCTCGCTGCCTTCTCCCAGGTGACCCATGAAGTTATAGTCCTCACACACACACACACACACACACACACACACACACACACACACACACACACACACACACACACACACACACACACACGGCTCAGGAATCTGTACACCAATTGATTGACAGTTGAGAGGCGGGACCAAAGAGCCAAAGCTCAACCCCCGCAAGCACAAATAGGTGAATAGGTGAGTACACACACACACACGCACGCACGCATTGATCTCCCACTCCATACATTGCAAACAGTGGTAGACGGTTGGAACAAGTAAGAGGGTGGTGGAGGCCAAAACCGTCAATAGTTTCAAAGCGTTATACGACAAAGAGAACTGAGAAGACGGTATACTACGAGCGTAGCTCTCATCCTGTAACTACACTTAAGGTAATTACAATTAGGTAATTAACTACACAAGTCACTCTTTCTCACTTGGGTGACGTAAGATCTCTCCCTCCTCCCCCTCTACTTAAATATAATAGTAATCAAACTTCCTACTTAAATACCTTAGATTTTCCTAGTCTCGGCTCGGGAACTGGTTTACCTGTTCTGTTTACCGCCATCCTTCGAACAATGGTATCCACGAAACTTTTTTTTATAAGCAATATATCAGAGAGTATACACATCAAACAGTATACACACAGCAATATACACACAGCTCGGTGTACATATGCCAGGTGTTTTGGTTGTGTGGGAAGGTATTATGGAGACCGTTGCTCAACTAGTGAACTAGTTACAGCTCCGCTCCTGTGCCAGGTAAGTCCACTACGGGCTCACCATAGCCCGTGCTACTTGGAACTTTTTGTTCCTAGTAGCTGAATCTATAACAACAACAATTAGTGAATTGTGACGAGTGTATCGACATAAAGATACTATGGCGAGTTTGTTGACATAAAGATACTGTAAAGGAGATTGTATTTACCTAAAATCTCGAGGCAGCCTTGACCGTGAAGAGTCTGGGAGAGAGAGAGCGTGTGAGGGTAGTTAGCGGGCGGAGTCGTTAGTAGCAGTCGTTAGCGTAGAACTGCCTCCTAGAGGTGCGGGAGGAGCGACAGTACCCGCCCTTGGACCCGCACACAGCACACTAACCGTTCGGGCGTCATACAATAGTGTCTAATATGACACACAGGTGGCAAAGGTGACCGCTCTTCTCTCTCTCGGCCGATAGTTCCACCGGTCGTTATCAGATTTTCTATATTACCTATATTTTCTATATATTGCGGAAAATCCACAGAGAATTGGAAAAGAAAGATGAACGTTTCGGCCGATCTGGGCCTTTGTCAACACCGGAGATTATATATATTATATTCCTGGTTGATGGGGTTCTGGGAGTTCTTCTACTCCCCAAGCCCGGCCCGAGGCCAGGCTCGACTTGTGAGAGTTTGGTCCACCAGGCTGTTGCTTGGAGCGGCCCGCAGGCCCACATACCCACCACAGCCCGGCTGATCCGGAACATCTCTTAGAAACCAGTCCAGTTTTCTCTTGAAGATGTCCACGGTTGTTCCGGATTCTATATTATTGTTTACAAATTTTCGGAAATTGAGCATAAACCCCGCCTATTAATATACTGGAAAAACTCCTTTAAATCTTCGAACAATCAAATCACAAAAATGTGATTTTTTTTTCCTACAGTATGTTCAATTATTGAGGTCATCAGGTGAGCTCGAACCCGCGTTCCTGGACTTCCCAGGCTACCGATCTTCAGACCAAGATGTGCAAAGGGGTAACCCCCTTTATGACACATCTCAGAGGCTGGTCCGCAGTTTCTCAGTTTATATAATTTTAAATGAGTAACAATGAATATATTTTGAGACGCTGGAAGTGCCGTGTCTGCCTTGTTTGAGCACCATGGCTGCACGGAGGGTCAGTCTGGAGCCTCATTCTGGACCCTCAGTCTGGAGCCTCAGTCTGGACCCTCAGTCTGTAGGCTCAGTCTGGACCCTCAGTCTGGACCCTCAGTCTGGACCCTCAGTCTGGACCCTCAGTCTGGAGCCTTTCAACGTCAATGAACGTTCGGTTGAAAAAATGAAAGTACCTTCTCTTAGTTACATACCTTTTAATAATCAATTTTATCTACCCTTTTTATTTCACAAATTAGGCCATCTCTCAGATATAACAAAATTTGTGTATATCTTAAAACTTCTTCGTCAGTTAAGGGCATAATTGGCTTATTTTATCACTATTTCTTGACAGGTGGTTCGCGGCAACAACCAGCTGAGTAGTAGCGAACGAGAGAAGGTCAAGGCTCTTCTACACCACCTGAACGACCACAAGATGAAGGAGGTCACTGCACTCCTCTCCCAGGTGAGTGAGAGATCAAGTTTCTCTCTCTCTCTCTCTCTCTCTCTCTCTCTCTCTCTCTCTCTCTCTCTCTCTCTCTCTCTCTCTCTCTCTCTCCCCGAATTTAACAAACTTTCAATATAATATTTTCAATTATTTTCTATATTTTCTTCTTATCGTCTTCATATTTTCTTTATTCTTTCCTGGTAGCTGCTTAACTTAGTATGAGAATGAAGTGCAATAGCGCACTAATCAACCAAAATAATAACCCACTATTTAGAAAACACGAGGAAACATTGACTGTTCATTTGGATCCCAACCCGGGCATACAACTTCAGCAGTGGAATCTTTAGCTGATCTTAGTAGACAATATTGTGTATCTTGCGTGGTGACCTCGTCTCTCTCTCTCTCTCTCTCGCCTGCAGCACGAGGACGCCAACGTCGCTAAGAAGATGCAACTGGAGAAGGAGTTGGAGGAGCTGGTAAGCCGCAAGAGGGAGGTGGAGGAAGCTCTCAGGCAGGCCGACGCAGCTGCTCCTGCTGCTCCTGCTGGTGTACCTGCTGCTCCTGCTGGTGTACCTGCTGCAGCGGTGCCGGCCTAAGGTAGTGGCATGAGCGTTGTGCACTAGCTACCACCGCCCCTGACGACCCAACACTTGCTTTCTATAAATTGCACCCGCTGAGTGAATCAGGCTAGACGCACCTGCTGAGTGCATCAGGTTAGACGCACCTGCTGAGTGCATCAGGCTAGACGCACCTGCTGAGTGCATCAGGTTAGACGCACCTGCTGAGTGCATCAGGCTAGACGCACCTGCTGAGTGCATCAGGCTAGACGCACCTGCTGAGTGCATCAGGCTAGACGCACCTGCTGAGTGCATCAGGTTAGACGCACCTGCTGAGTGCACCAGGCTAGACGCACCTGCTGAGTGCATCAGGCTAGACGCACCTGCTGAGTGCACCAAGCTATACTGGACCAAAGATGAGCTCTCGTAAACACTCACATCTAAAGTACAGTACGCATAGCGCGAAAAAGCAGAGTACTCAGAATTGCAACAAAGAGTACTCTCAGATCTGCGTGAGTACTGTGTGTATAGTGCACCATAGCATTAGAAAGGGCCCCAGCCTCTGTTTGGAAGAAGGAACAAAGACTGTTGGTTCCTCCGAATATTCCAGCCTAACGTTTACGGAAGACCTAAGACCTCATTCATACTTTCAATGAGGACTTAAGTCCTCATATTCAGCCCATCCTCCTGTTTTGGCAGTACTTATAGTAACGATGAGGACCATAGTACATATACAGACGTACAACGAAATTAAAAAGTAGAAATCGGCACTATTGAGTTGAACAAACCGGGAAAACTATTTTTTACTTGTGTTGCACAGACAAACTTAACCTAACCTTCCTAGGCCTAATACACGATATATGAGGCCTATATAGTACATGTGTGTGCTATACTAGGCCTAGGAATATTTAAGTTAGTTTTTTAGCTTCATTTTTTTTTTAAGAATTCCTTGCAAGTCAGTATACTACTATCTAAAAGCTAAGTACGTACGAATTCGTGACTATTGACGATCGTCACAATAGGTGCTATCTTAACAGGAGGACGGGTAAAGACTTAGTTCCTTACTAACACCCTGCAATGTTAATTAGAGATGATCAGGCGATATTATCAGAATGAGTGAAGACTAATATAAATATTATATATAAACATGTAGTGCATGGCTATGTTAACATTTCAAATATATATATATATATATATATATATATATATATATATATATATATATATATATATATATATATATATATATATATATATTTATTACAATTTGTATCAATGATACCATTTATATGTCATGGAGTGAAATAAAAAGAAGATCGTAAGTTGACATTTTATTATATAAACATTCTCACTTCTTTACATAGTTAATTCTTGTGTAACACTCATCCATAACAACCAATAAATAAACAATAACAAATAATAAATAATAACCCCTAATTCCTATGAATGCCCGTAATTAAACGCGATAGAAATAAATCCCACACACACAAAAAAAAAGGTTCTGAGCCGGTCAGTGTTCCGAGAAAGAGATTCGGAATCTTTGAGTTATTCCCTCAAAACAGTTTCTGAAAACAGGTGAATGTCACCTGTACCTCGCCACTTATATCGTCTATGAGAGGGTTACAGAAGTATAAACTGGAAACAGAACTAAATCAAACTTTTAGAGTAATAGCTAACATCGTTCCTAAAGTGAACAGCGTTTGACTCCATCTCCAGCCTTCAATATATGAAATAAACATCAAGTTTGTTAACCAATCCAAACACTAGGAAATGAAGGGACGACGACGACGTTTCGGTTCGTCCTGGACCATTCTCAAGTCGATTGTCTACGCATTTTCTAGTGTGTGGATTGGTCAACATACTTCAACCACGTTATTATGCCTGCAAACATCAAGTTTGTAGGTTATCGCAATCGTCCGTTTCATTTTAGAAGAGATGATTGGCATTTCATTTGGCATTGATGGTGTCATCAATCCCAAGATGATTAGCGAGTTGACACACAAATGTGTACAGTTTGGGGTGTTTCCTTCTTCTGGCAACTCAGGCTGTGGTAGGGAGACTCTGTAAACCTAAATCATAACAATGGCACATGTGGTCTGGGATAGTTGTGTGGTCGTTTGGGATAGTTGTGTGGTCGTTTGGGATAGTTGTGTGGTCGTTTGGGATAGTTGTGTGGTCGTTTGGGATAGTTGTGTGGTCGTTTGGGATAGTTGTGGTCGTCTGGGATAGTTGTGTGGTCTGGGATAGTTGTGTGGTCGTTTGGGATAGTTGTGTGGTCGTTTGGGATAGTTGTGTGGTCGTTTGGGATAGTTGTGTGGTCGTTTGGGATAGTTGTGTGGTCGTTTGGGATAGTTGTGTGGTCGTTTGGAATAGTTGTGTGGTCGTTTGGGATAGTTGTGTGGTCGTTTGGGATAGTTGTGGTCGTCTGGGATAGTTGTGTGGTCTGGGATAGTTGTGTGGTCGTTTGGGATAGTTGTGTGGTCGTTTGGGATAGTTGTGTGGTCGTTTGGGATAGTTGTGTTGTCGTTTGGGATAGTTGTGTGGTCGTCTGGGATAGTTGTGTGGTCGTCTGGGATAGTTGTGTGGTCGTTTGGGATAGTTGTGTGGTCGTCTGGGATAGTTGTGTGGTCGTTTGGAATAGTTGTGGTCGTCTGGGATAGTTGTGGTCGTTTGGGATAGTTGTGTGGTCGTTTGGGATAGTTGTGTGGTCGTTTGGGATAGTTGTGTGGTCGTTTGGGATAGTTGTGTGGTCGTTTGGGATAGTTGTGTGGTCGTTTGGGATAGTTGTGTGGTCGTTTGGGATAGTTGTGTGGTCGTTTGGGATAGTTGTGTGGTCGTTTGGGATAGTTGTGTGGTCGTTTGGGATAGTTGTGTGGTCGTTTGGGATAGTTGTGTGGTCGTTTGGGATAGTTGTGTGGTCGTTTGCGATAGTTGTGTGTAGTCGTTTGGGATAGTTGTGTGGTCGTTTGGGATAGTTGTGTGGTCGTTTGGGATAGTTGTGTGGTCGTTTGGGATAGTTGTGTGGTCGTTTGGGATAGTTGTGGTCGTTTGGGATAGTTGTGGTCGTTTGGGATAGTTGTGTGGTCGTTTGGGATAGTTGTGTAGTCGTTTGGGATAGTTGTGGTCGTTTGGGATAGTTGTGGTCGTTTGGGATAGTTGTGGTCGTTTGGGAGTTGTGGTCGTCTAGGATAGTTATGGTCGTCTGGGATAGTTGTGGTCGTTTAAGATACTTGTGGTCGTCTGGGATAGTTGTGGTCGTCTGGGATAGTTGTCGTCGTTTGGGATAGTTGTGGTCGTCTAAGATAATTGTGGTCGTCTGGGATAGTTGTGGTCGTCTAGGATAGTAGTGGTCGTCTAGGATAGTAGTGGTCGTCTGGGATAGTTGTGGTCGTTTGGGATAGTTGTGGTTTGGGATAGTTGTGGTCGTTTGGGATAGTTGTGTGGTCGTTTGGGATAGTTGTGTAGTCGTTTGGGATAGTTGTGGTCGTTTGGGATAGTTGTCGTCGTTTGGGATAGTTGTCGTCGTTTGGGATAGTTGTGGTCGTCTAAGATAATTGTGGTCGTCTGGGATAGTTGTGGTCGTCTAGGATAGTAGTGGTCGTCTGGGATAGTTGTGGTCGTTTGGGATAGTTGTGGTCGTTTGGGATAGTTGTGGTTTGGGATAGTTGTGGTCGTTTGGGATAGTTGTGTGGTCGTTTGGGATAGTTGTGTAGTCGTTTGGGATAGTTGTGGTCGTTTGGGATAGTTGTCGTCGTTTGGGATAGTTGTGGTCGTCTAAGAAAATTGTGGTCGTCTGGGATAGTTGTGGTCGTCTAGGATAGTAGTGGTCGTCTGGGATAGTTGTGTGGTCGTTTGGGATAGTTGTGTAGTCGTTTGGGATAGTTGTGGTTTGGGATAGTTGTGGTCGTTTGGGATAGTTGTGTGGTCGTTTGGGATAGTTGTGTAGTCGTTTGGGATAGTTGTGGTCGTTTGGGATAGTTGTGGTCGTTTGGGATAGTTGTGGTCGTTTGGGAGTTGTGGTCGTCTAGGATAGTTATGGTCGTCTGGGATAGTTGTGGTCGTTTAAGATACTTGTGGTCGTCTGGGATAGTTGTGGTCGTCTGGGATAGTTGTCGTCGTTTGGGATAGTTGTGGTCGTCTAAGATAATTGTGGTCGTCTGGGATAGTTGTGGTCGTCTAGGATAGTAGTGGTCGTCTGGGATAGTTGTGGTCGTTTGGGATAGTTGTGGTCGTTTGGGAGTTGTGGTCGTCTAGGATAGTTGTGGTCGTCTGGGATAGTTGTGGTCGTCTAGGATAGTAGTGGTCGTCTGGGATAGTTGTGGTCGTTTGGGATAGTTGAGGTAGTTTAAGATAGTTGTGGTCGTCTGGGATAGTTGTGGTCGTCTAGGATAGTAGTGGTCGTCTGGGATAGTTGTGGTCGTTTGGGATAGTTGTGGTCGTTTGGGATAGTTGTGGTCGTCTGGGATAGTTGTGGTCGTCTAAGATAATTGTGGTCGTCTGGGATAGTTGTGGTCGTTTGGGATAGTTGTGGTCGTCTGGGATAGCTGTGGTCGTTTGGGATAGTTGTGGTCGTTTAAGATAGTTGTGGTCGTCTAGGATAGCTGTGGTCGTCTAAGATAATTGTGGTCGATTGGGATAGTTGTGGTCGTCTGGGATAGTTGTGGTCGTCTAAGATAATTGTGGTCGTTTTGGATAGTTGTGGTCGTCTAAGATAATTGTGGTCGTTTGGGTAGTTGTGGTCGTCCGGGATAGTCGTGTGGTCGTCTAGGATAGTTGAGGTCGTCTAAAATAGATGTGGTCGTATGTTATAGCTGTTGTCGTCTAGGACTGTTGAGGTCATACTGTCCCAACTTGAAACAGTTGTGGTCGTCTGAAACTGTTGAGGTCGTATGTTATAGTTGTGACCGCCTTGGGTTGTCAGGAGCCGCTCAGGTTGGCAGGGGCCAGTTGAGGTCGTCTTAAACAGTAGTTTGGTGAAGCGGATTAACTGGAGTCTGTGATCAACGCCCAACTAGAGGTCGTCGGTGGGGAGATGATCCTACCGCTCCCGAGAAATGGCAGTTCGAAGCATGGAACATGTACAAACCTAATTGACTACTGGAGGGAAAACTCTTCTCTCAGTGCGGTGATCTTGCGGGAAGAACGAAGCTTCTAAGACACACATATGTCTTGTCAAATTTATACTGGTAATGCCCGATGGTACTCTGTCTTACCACTTGGTAGTAAGCATCCGGCAGTCTTGGTAGACGATGGAGTTGCGCTCTGGTTGCCGAGGCTGGAGGGTCCTCTTTACACTTAAGGTGCAAAGAAACGGACTTAATGAAGATGAAAGACGTTTTTGACCGTAGAAGTGACGTTACCAACGGATTTTTTTTTAGCTGTAGTGTAGATGTCACTGTCCCATAATAGTCTAACAGTCAATATCATCCGACATAGATGATAAGTTTATTTAAAGGCCAGGGTAGTCTATCAGAGTTATGATTGTCTCGTGATCTGTATAACGGATTGGATTGTCACACAAGGAAGGTAATCTAGAAAGCACAAGTCTGTATAAAAGATAAAACAGTGTGATATTACATTATAACAACAGTGCAACGAGCACATTATAACAGCCTAACAAATACATTATAACAGCCTATCCAGCACATCATCATGGCAGTGTATATAAATACATTACGTACTACTACAAGAAGACTCCTTTGAGGAAAAATCTAATCTGACGGTCCCTGTCTTCACCGTCAAAATACCAGTTGTTAGGCACCTGTCTTGTCTAGCATGGCTACGAGCAGCACCTTTGAGGTGATCCCTCGGCCTCGCCTGGCAACCATCGTAGTCATCAGACCATCATAGACATTGCTATAAGATGCAATGGCAAACCCCTGGACCGCCTGCCCTAGCTATGTAACCTTCATCAACTTCCTTGGGACAAAGTCCAAACACCGACATGTTTATGTCTTATATTTAAGTAATTATCAAGATTGTAAGATTTAAGAAGAGACACGAATTCCTCTAAACCCATAAATTCCCGCGTATACTTAATAGTCGTATGCCCATTATAAAGCTCCATAATATTACCATCGGAGGAAAGTAATCATATATGCCCGTCGTGATATGTGAAAGATGTGTGACCTTAACTCATGAGAGTGAAGACTTGAGCTGCCCTGATCAAGCCATGAAAGAGGATGGGGAGGAAATAGACACCAAAGACACACCTAAAAAATCCTGTTTACCATCAAAGTGGCAAATTCGTCGACCCCTTAAGAAATACCAACCTATCTATAAGGTCGCGTTGTTTTGTACAGTGGCACTAAGGAGTGTGTTTTGGTCTTCCGTGTGTAGCACGAAGGCATGATCTGCACTTCGGAGGGTGTTTGAGGTGGCTCGTCTAGTCGGTGAGGTAGGAGGTGGAAGAGGTGCGGGAGGAGGTGGTGCCGAAGTAGAGGGAAGGCGGGTTGGGGTCAATCTGTTTGGTGGCTCTCTTCTTGTGCCATAGGTAACTCCAGGCCATGAGCAGGACCAGCTGGGCGGCCAGGAAGAGCGCGCACGCCACCACCACGCCGGTGAAGGACGAACAGCTGCCCTCTGCTGACTCGATCTCCACCTCCTGCTTCTGGTTGGCGAAGAACTCGAACTTGTCGGTGATACGGACTGATTGAGCCACCATGATGTCCGTATCTTGCACCTGTGAACAAAACAATAGGGTTATCTAGGCCTTCATTTGTTATGGAGCATTCCGGGCTTAGCCCTTTCTATTCTTCGTTACTTACATACTTAAAATACTTAAAGTTACTTACATACAGCAAAAGTACAGTAAATAAGCCTTGCAGGCTTATTTACTGTATTTTGGCATGCTTTCAAAGATAGCTCAAGTTGTATTTGTAATCACTGATGATTTTTAAATCCCTAATAGCGCTGGTTAGTGATGCCGAGAGAGGCCTCTAGAATGTATTTGTGTGCATATTATGGTCACGAGAAACCCCGAAGCTAAAGTAGGGAGAGAGGAACAAGTTTATCAGAGATGCTGGCCACACAGCACATGTGGCCATGTGGCCAACACCCCCATTACCTACGTTGCACCCCTCGTCCACCACATTGCTCTCCCCCATCATGAAGCCCAAACTCTGCGTCACATTCACATATTCACCATAATGAATCCGCACCAAGTACACTCATTTCACTTCAAATGTACTCCACCACCCACCCACCACACTAGCACCACCACCCGCCACACTAGCACCACCACCCACCACACTAGCACCACCACCCGCCACACTAGCACCACCACCCGCCACACTAGCACCACCACCCGCCACAATAACACCTCAACCCACCTCTCGCCTCCTGCGCCTGCCAAGGGACTCCTCCCTGCGGGAGATGCCATCGAAGCCCGGGACGTTGCACTGAACGGGGTCGCAGCGCGGCAGACAAGGGGTCACCAACGCCCGGAACTGTACCACCTCCGAAGCCGGGAACTTGAAGGCTTGGAAGGGCGCGTGCAACACTACGCCATTTTCCACCTGTAGAAGGCAGCAAGGGGTAAAAAATAATGATGATGCCTCTCCACTGAAAGATAATGATACCTGACAACATCGTGTCACTTGCAAGGGATGCAAGGACAGGATAAGATGTGGGATAAGGAGACTGAGTACAGGAATAGTGTGCTAAAGGATAGTTTACCTGGACAACAGCCTGCATGATAGTTGGATCAGTCGGGCAGCCCCGTCCGTCAATGAGGAGGATCTCAGAGTTGTCCTGGCCGTCCATGGCGATCAGCTCCCGCACGAAGATCTCGTAGGGGCTCTTGACGTCTGTGATCTCGAAGCGCAGAGCCAAGTTGTCACCCACCTGGGGATAGGACGGGGTTTGACTTATAGAAGGGGGAAGAGGAGAATTTATTAATTATATTATATATATGTCATTAAAACACAACAGCATTGTGACTATTATTAATTTTCATTTGGATATTTTCCATTCTACGCAAATATCTTCTACCATCTGGAGGATGAAGAAACACTAGATCACTTAATATCTCCATTTTTTGACGTTCCGTCAGCAATGTGACATCTTCAGTTCACTATATACAAAGACTAGAATGGTAAAAGATATAAAGACCAGAATGTCTTATTTTGCTATATATTTAACTAGCTATTTTGACGTTTTATTATCTGCCAGTATAATCCCATCTCTCCTTGCCAGGTATTATCTCTTATTATCAAATGGTGTGTGTCCCTGTCCCATCCCGCACTGACTTACTGTTACTGTGTGGTGATGACATACACCCTGACGCACCTGTGTGTGGTGATGACATACACCCTGATGCACCTGTGTGTGGTGATGACATACACCCTGACGCACCTGTGTGTGGTGATGACATACACCCTGATGCACCTGCGTGTGGTGATGACATACACCCTGACGCACCTGTGTGTGGTGATGACATACACCCTGACGCACCTGTGTGTGGTGATGACATACACCCTGATGCACCTGCGTGTGGTGATGACATACACCCTGACGCACCTGTGTGTGGTGATGACATACACCCTGACGCACCTGTGTGTGGTGATGACATACACCCTGACGCACCTGTGTGTGGTGATGACACACCCTGACGCACCTGTGTGTGGTGATGACATACACCCTGACGCACCTGTGTGTGGTGATGACATACAACCTGATGCACCTGTGTGTGGTGATGACATACACCCTGACGCACCTGTGTGGTGATGACATACTCTGACGCACCTGTGTGGTGATGACACACCCTGACGCACCTGTGTGTGGTGATGATATACACCCTGACGCACCTGTGTGTGGTGATGACATACACCCTGACGCACCTGTGTGTGGTGATGACATACACCCTGACGCACCTGTGTGTGGTGATGACATACACCCTGACGCACCTGTGCAGTGATGATATCCAGACCCTTGGTGTCCGTCACCCGCATCACCACGTTGGGAGACTCGACCACCGTCTCCTCGTAGAACTCGGTGGAGTCAATAGCACCCTTCACCTCCAGGCCGGAGAGGAGGGAGTTGGTCACAGTCTGGTTCCTGAGGTTATACTTGCAGTGCAGGGCGAGTCCCAGGTCAGCCGCGGTCACGATCATGTCGTGATTCTGCCCAGGGGAGGGGGAGGGAAGAGAGGAACACGTTCAAGACACAATTATAGTTCGAAGTTTGCATACGTCTTTTGTTGAATGATGAAAATATAAGCTTTCTTGCTGTTGTATAGAAAAGACTGGAATTTTTGGCAAAGCTATAAATTGTACAGTGACTTTTAAAGATAAAGTCAATGTATAATTTAGTTCATAAGTATAATAAGTTCATCTAAATGCCCTTGGCTGTCACTTAAGCATCAACCAACTTACCCTAGTAAACTTCCTATAAGCAGTGCAAAAATAAACACACACACACAGTTAGTCTTTGAAAATTATTTAACAAATCGTACAAAATAATTTGAGAATATGCAAAACACCCCTTCTGAGCTACCGGCCAACACTAGATCTGCACCATCTTAAAATATAAGACTATTGTGCCAATTTTAGTCGAACCCAACTCTGATGGTACTTCCTGGAAAGCACAGATGTTGGCTTCAACTCACTCTGATGGAGCAGATCCTGACTAAATTTAATCTTGTAGTAGTAGTAGTAGGCATCCATCAGTCTCAGGAGACTGATGGATTAATCTACATTTGCATTAATTGCGGCAAATTTTCATCTGATTGGCGCAAACACTCAAACATGTACCTGCAACATCTTGTATTAAATAGAACATAGCGAAGGCCGTGCACATGCGGCCTACCTCGGAGAAACAGCCGCCGGGGCCCCCTCACCTGGATGACGATGTTGGTGGAGAAGGTGCCTGGACCATCCTGGACGACGTCGCAGTTGACGTCGTTGTAGGGGAGCACGATCTCGAAGTCAGTGGAGTTCTTGACGTCGGTCACGCACGAGTTGGGGCGGTTCTTGGCGTACACCTTGCCGTCGAAGAGAGTCGAAGTCGAGATGCGCGCCAACATCTCCATTCCCCGGCACTCGACCGTCACCTGCAACACGTCAGGAAGTAAGTAATTATCAAAAGAAGGCACCAGGAGGCCTGGTCGACGACCGGGCCGCGGGGACGCTAAGCCCCGGAAGCACCTCAAGGTAACCAAACCAGGAAGTGTTCAACACCAGCGACGTGTTCAACACCAGAGACGTGTTCTACGCCAGCGACGTGTTCTACACCAGTGACGTGTTCAACACCAGCGACGTGTTCAACACCAGCGACGTGTTCAACACCAGCGACGTGTTCAACACCAGCGACGTGTTCAACACCAGCGACGTGTTCAACACCAGCGACGTGTTCAACACCAGAGACGTGTTCTACGCCAGCGACGTGTTCTACACCAGTGACGTGTTCAACACCAGCGACGTGTTCAACACCAGCGACGTGTTCAACACCAGTGACGTGTTCAACACCAGCGACGTGTTCAACACCAGCGACGTGTTCAACACCAGCGACGTGTTCAACACCAGCGACGTGTTCAACGCCAGCGACGTGTTCAACACCAGCGACGTGTTCAACGCCAGCGACGTGTTCAACACCAGCGACGTGTTCAACACCAGCGACGTGTTCAACGCCAGCGACGTGTTCAACGCCAGTGACCGCTACGCCTGCCCTGAGCGGCTCATCTAACACAGTTGCAGTAATTATTGCAACAGGAAGTTGTAACTCAAACTTTTAGCTTGACGTATCGTCTTCGACGTTGTAAACAACGTTCTTGACAACGTTAACATCCGTGTCATAACATCGTGTTAACATCGTGATAACATCGTAATAACATCGTGTTAACATCGTGTCATAACATCGTGTTAACATCGTGTCATAACATCGTGTTATAACAACTTTAAGAACAATAATCGGGACTTCTCAGAGTTGTGAATTAAAGCATCTAAATGCGCATTTGGTATTTAAGATTGATTGATGATGATTGATAAAAATTAAGCCACCCAAGAGGTGGCACGGGCATGAATAGCCCGTAATTGTCATTTAAAATACGTGTCAATCATTATATTGTACTTGAGAGTAATTACTGTACATAACTAGTTATCGTATAAAGTAGCAACAATTGTCGTATCTGATTCATTGCTTATGGTACATGATAACCATATTTACCGTATCTGGTAAAATAGTTCATGATTCTGGGCAGTAATAAGTAGCTTACCTGTCAATAATAATTACCGTACTAGGCAGCCGTTGCTTATCTTAAACTGCAGCTTTAAAGCAACAGCAGCAGCAACAACACAAGTAAGCATCGTACCTCTGCCCCCCGCCCCGTAGGCATCGTACCTCTCTCCCGCCGCGTAGACATCGTACCTCTGTTCCCCTTAACTAACGTACCTGGTAGCAGGACTGCATCTCGTGTGTGGTGGCGTTCTCGATCTGGAGGTAGGGCTCCTGGATGTGGGCGAGGGTGGCCGTCGAGTGGTGGGACAAGCGGCAGATCTTCTCCCCGGCCGACATGAAGTCGAAGGAGTAGCAGGTGAAGTTGGCCTTCATGCACCTGGTGATGTGCAGGGGGTTGAGGAGAGGAGGTATAACACGGGTATAACACTGATATAATACAGGTATAGCACGGGTATACTATATAATATCGCATGCTAATGGTAATGCTACACTTATAAACAGTTTGGGAAAGACAGAGGTAGGAAAAATAAAGGAGGCATGGCAGAAAAAGGAAAGGATTAAACAGAGTTTGAGACATTCCGAGAGACAAGCAGAACTGCAAGTGAAGAGAACAGGGCAAGAATTAGAAGAGAGAGAGAAAGTAAGTAATTATCAATAGCAGGCATCAAACCGGGAAGGCTATGTAGCACCAAGAGAGAGAGAGAGAGATGCGCCTATCTGGGTGAGCTACCTGTCCTTGCACTCCTCGTTGCTCTCCACGTCTTGGTAAACAGCGTCCACGGTCTTCAGGATGCGGCCCCGCAGCGTCTGGAACTCACACATCTTCTGGGGCTTGGGCACGCACGCCACCTCCACGTAGTCAGCCTCCTCCTCGAGCTCCAGCAGGCGCTTGCGACCAGCCATGTTGCGGTCGACCTGCGCCAGGGTGCAGGTCTTGGTGGCGGCCTCGTAGGAGACGGCTCTGCGGGGGACGGGGGGAGAACGGGGAATTAGTTGGTTTTGTTTACATCCAGGAGGGGCGAGGAGAACACCTGAGGGGGGAGGGGAGGGGCAGACCCTCCCCCACGACTCATTCTTATTGCTACTTTAGACTTTCGGTCTTTTTTTTTATTATTTTTTCCGTTGCCTGCGTCAATATTTACATATAAATATTTTCGTACTCACCCTTTACTAGATTTTAATTTATTGATTGTCATCCGCGCCAAGGAACTGCAAATACTAGTCTTACCTGCAGCCTCGACACGCTGAAGTGCCAAACAGAAACTAAGTGCCAACAGACTTAAGAGGTCCTAATGAGTCACCTGCCTGAAGTTGAAGTCTGAACGCCAAACAGCGTTTCCTTTTACGGTAATATCGAACTTCACTTGAAAAGAGCAATGTTCAATATTACCTCGACTTGTGTTCAGTTCAAAATGATTGAACATGAAAGTCAATAACGTCCCAAGAACGCGATGACTGTGAGAAAATAGTGAGTGTGTGAGCGTGGGGAGTCTAGAGAGACGCAAGTTCGATCCTCCAACATAGCGTCAATATTTTATCATAAAACTAGTAAATTTAATAGTTAATATAAAAAGGTGACGAAGCACGTGTATTAACCTACCGTTCTATTAATTTAATTAGGTATTATATTAGCAACTTTTATTAGGAATAGAATTGTTAAATTTCTAGCAAGTTGTTAAATTTGAATAGTTCAAATAGTTCAAAATGTTCTGTAATAATAGCCTTGCGAATCTATTACAGTTCCTTCAATTACATATACAATAACAACCTAGGATTGCATAATGTTTCCTTAATTAGTTTCCTTAATTCTTATGCTCGTATGTACTGCAAGCGTTTAAGGTAATTAACAGGAGAAAGCGCTCAGACTACATAGCATTTGGAAGGCATATAAGGACAAGGATCTGGGATGGTGCCCAACCACTTGCACGGTCGGGGATTGAACGCCGACCTGCAGGAAGTGAAATCGTCGCTCTACCGACAAGTCCAAGAAGTTGGACTAATATCACTAAGTATTTTCAGATGGACTTTTTCCTCCGTATCATTAAATAAATTATCAACACTTCTAAAAAACACGACTTGCGCAAACGTATCATTCATACACAATTTCAAATGTAGATATAATAGAGCCCAATAGGCACAGGAACCTGTACACCAGTTGACTGACAGTTAAGAAGCGGAATCAAAGAGCCGAAGCTCAACCCCCACAAGCACAACTAGGTAAGTACCCGCAAACATGTGCAGGCTGCAAATATTTTCTCGCTAACAAATACAATATTTAGTTTCGTGTGTGCTATAACTGTCTTTGTAGCGTCAGCAGTCAGACGCACCGTACGGGTCATCCCTGCTTACATTACCAGCAGCTCACACTCCCAGAGAACCCTCCTACACAGCTCCCACCACTGGCCAGCCACCACCTGCAGGCCCACCACTGGCCAGCCACCACCTGCAGGCCCACTACTGGCCAGCCACCACGTGCAGAGCTCCGACGAAAATTCAGCCATATTCCAGCAAGCTCCCGTCACGAAGCTTCCTCACGAAACTCTTGCAAGAACCAAGGCCGCTTTGGTTGACCCAACAACCAACCCACAGAACCCCAATCGACTCACCCACTGAGTATACCCACCACCCCACAGGCGACCGAACCACTCACTCACCTGCAGATAAACTTGTCTTCAGTGAGGCAGGCGAGGACACACAAGCCCCTGGAGGCTACGGTCTTGGAGTCGGCGCGGAAGCGGTTAGTGATGGCCAGACCAGGAACGGTCTCGTAGGCCCAGGGGGAGGCGCAGGTGGGACGCTGGGAGGCCAGACACACCTTCTGGGCGTAAAGCGTGAACACCGGGAACTGCGACACTGCCAGGGACGCTGAAAGAGAACACAGTGTGAACACAACTGGGTAAATACTGGTTTGGAAGTAAGTAATTATCAAAAGAATACTGGTTTGGAAACCGGGTTATTGATCAATGGTACAAACTACCGGTTAACATAATAATTGACGGGGATCACTTGATTGTTTGAAGCGTAAGTTACATATATATAAATGAGTTTGGGTGGATATAATTTCAAGTTGCCTGTATGGGCCAATGGGGCTTCTGCAGTTCCATTTATTATGTTCACTGGTTGTTATTGTCTGAACGTGACATTTAAAAACTATAAGCCTCAACTTACGCTCTTAACATACCACTGTTTGCCAATAATCAATTCCTTTTTTTAAATAGGGTTTGGATTAATTAGCGATGTATATCTGAGATAACTCCCTCTATCCAGCGTTCTAACAAGTTCAATAAATATAAGCATAGCAAGTTCCATTTGGAAAATCTAGGCTTCTAGAGCGTAGCATAAGATATCTTTAAACTAACAACTATGATCTTACTGAAACTATCGTCACATCATTAATATTGTTCATATAATTATTGAATGTCATTCTGTTCACTGATCATCTCAACTCATTCGTTCCACTCTCCGTGGAAGATAGAATTTGCTGTCCTTAAATCCATTCAAATATTTCTTTAAGGTCCCATACCTTGTTATAAAGCCCCATCTCTTGTTATAAGGGCCCATCTCTCTCTTTTCTATCAAATTACATGGCATGGGAGTGTGTGTGTGTGTGTGTGTGTGTGTGTGTGTGTGTGTGTGTGTGTGTGTGTGTGTGTGTGTGTGTGCGTGTGTGTGTGTGTGCGTGTGTGTGTAAGTGAGGGGGTCTAAGGCAGGGCAGGCAGCCTGGTGACCTACAATAGACCACCATAAGAAAAACCTGTGCGACCACCCTCACCCCCCTTACCCCCTCTTCCCAACTTTCTGTACCCCCCCCCTCCTCCTCCCTACTTCCCCTACTCATACCCCTCTTCTACCCCTTCCCTAAGCTTCCCTCTCGTATACCCTCCCACCCTACCTAGTGTCTTCCCCCATGCCTCCTCCCTTAGCTTACCCAGGTCAAATCTCCCTTGGTTCTTAAATCTAGGTGAACAGCCATGTGGTTTATCCCGTTATACACGGATGCTGTCTAGTGTCACATGCAGTGTGCCTACCAGGGAGGAGCCTTGTGTCAACCGGGGGGGGGGGTAGCCTCGTGTCTACCAGGAGGCTCCCGTTTCTTCACCAGGAGGCTGCCTAGCACCTTCCCCACGCTCGTGTCATGCCACCCTCAGGATGCCGACACGTCCCCAGCCAGAACCTGAACGTCTCTAACAATGGGTCGCCTCTCCCAGAGCCATTATGTGGCTTCCCTTAATTAACTAATACCTTCACACCCCTACAGTCTCAACCCAGGAAGAGGCGCAGCAACCCATCCACGTGTGACAGCCTCAGCGCCAAGACAATCGGCCCACCATCCAGGGACGCCGATTCGTCTCGGAACCCAAAAACTGGATAGGAGTACACGTTGTTTAGGAGAAACACTTATGGAGGACTCTGGCCCTGCGGGACGCCATATTAGGTCTTGTGAGACCAGGGGTTCCGTTCTTCCCCAAATATAGGAATTCTGGAGGATCTAAGAGGTATTGTGGAGGGTCTGAGAGGTATTGTGGACGGTCTGAGAAATGAAATTTGCGAGAGTTAGGGAATAGGAGTTAAGCCAATGACCTTCGTGTGAGGGTGTCGTAGGGGAAGGGAGAGGGGCAGGCAGACCATTGACCTGTTGTCAGGGGGGCCAGAGTCAGGCTCCCTCACTAACCCGCGGCAGAGCCCTGCTAGGTCTAACTGTACCATGGGGGGCTAAGGTCTAACTGTACCATGGGGGGCTAAGGTCTAACTGTACCATGGGGGGCTAAGGTCTAACTGTACCATGGGGGGCTAAGGTCTAACTGTACCATGGGGGGCTAAGGTCTAACTGTACCATGGGGGGCTAAGGTCTAACTGTACCATGGGGGGCTAAGGTCTAACTGTACCATGGGGGGCTAAGGTCTAACTGTACCATGGGGGCTAAGGTCTAACTGTACCATGGGGGGCTAAGGTCTAACTGTACCATGGGGGGCTAAGGTCTAACTGTACCATGGGGGGCTAAGGTCTAACTGTACCATGGGGGGCTAAGGTCTAACTGTACCATGGGGGGCTAAGGTCTAACTGTACCATGGGGGCTAAGGTCTAACTGTACCATGGGGGGCTAAGGTCTAACTGTACCATGGGGGGCTAAGGTCTAACTGTACCATGGGGGCTAAGGTCTAACTGTACCATGGGGGGCTAAGGTCTAACTGTACCATGGGGGGCTCCACTCACGTGCCCCCCAAACGAACGACCACCTTGGAGAAGTGGGAAATACAAGACCCAGAGTCAGTAACACCTTTGTCATCATTAAAAACTGCTAGAGTTTCAGTTCGGAATAAGATGTACTCAATGCTCTCGTGTCTACAAAAGTTTGACTTCCACAAAGATGCAATTCATCTGGTTGAGATGGAATTAAAACTCTGTTATCCGATATAATTCGCTCATGTGTAAAATTAATTAGTTATTAGCGGTAACTAATCTTATTTTTCCTTTTACTGCGATGACTTCCTTAGGAATGTGTATGTGTGTCCATTTTAGTCAATTTTCTATGTATCTTTATTCGATTCATAACAGCCGTCAGTCACACCAACGCTCGTGATCTATAGAGTAATAAGTTGCAAAACCTCGTCGGACCTTCCCAACCAGGCTGTCCCTTCTCTTGCCACCACTTACCTTACCTTCAACACACACACACCCACCATACCAAGACATAGGTGAGTACACACAACACACACACACACACACACACACACACACACACACACACACACACACACACACACACACACACACACACACACACACACACTTCCACCTTCCTCGATCACCTTTGTTGGTCTAGTGGCACATACCTTAACAAATAAGAAATCTATATTAAATAAATCCTTAAAACCTGTTCGTCTGTCCTTAACACACTGTGACGCCGCAGACTGGAATTCGATTAAGCTTGGACTGATGAAGAAGAACCTCCGTGAACTCTATATTTCTATAATAATAGAACAGACCACGGAATCTATCCTTCTATATAATTAGAAAGCCTGTCTGTCTGGGTGTGTGGAGGACGCCAGTGAAGAACAAAGGTCAGCCGCGGAAGGGTTGACCCGTGTTCTTCACCCAGGTACCGCCAGGTACTTCGCTAATGTATAAGAATCTGTTTTGTCTTACGGATGAACTTCCGTTTAGTCCAGCCAGAACGACAGCGATTTATACAAGTCGTTACGAATAAATTAACTGAATCTGACTAAGCGTTCCTCTTCCTGTTGTGTTGACATCACCGTCAGAAGCAAGGAGGAGGAGTTCATGTGACTCAAGAGTGGGGAATCCTTCAAGATGTAGGGCGTGCCTTGGGCGAGGAGAGGTGAGTGACCGCTCGCTTCCTTCTACAGGTGTCCTGACTCATGTAGACGTTCTGGTAGCAGGTTCCTCTTCCTGCTTGCTTATTCATGTTTCTTAAGGGAGTCGTCCTGCTTTTGGGCTCGTCTACACGTTGAACATTTAATTCTTGTCTATGTCATCGACAATTCCATATCTTGTATTTTCTGACCACAAGAGAAAGATAACATGATCCTAACATACAAGGTTTTTAGAAGCATTCACAAAGTGGATAAAACCAGATGTTTATTATGAATAGTGCTAAGACGACAGGATATGAATGAACGCCATAAAATCCAAGATGAGCCATTAGGTTGTAATACACAGATTCGGGAAAAGATACGATAAGAAGCGAGATAGCCATTGATATATCCGACCGGTGGTTGAAAGGTTGGGAACCAAGAGCTGGCATTCGCCCTGCAAGTCCCCATGAAGGAGATTATAAGAACACAATAATTACGAAGACGATGGCCGTAGGTGCAATAGTAATTAACACAGGAGCGGTTGTCGTCACGGCCGTCCCATCTCGCTAACGGCCTCTCCAGGATATTATTACACAGTCTCGCTATATTAGTGTGTTCTCGTCCAAGAAGGTGAGAGAGTTTTTATATAAGTGTCTTCTGTGATGAGACGCCTTAATATAATTCTCTCTCTCTCTCTCTCTCTCTCTCTCTCTCTCTCTCTCTCTCTCTCTCTCTCTCTCTCTCTCTCTCTCCTGTCCTGTGAAACTTTTGTTAGGACTGATCAACCTCTGGACGGCCCAAGAATGGCCTCACCGAAGAATGGTCTTCCTGGTAGTCTAATGCTAGTGTCGGAGCGCTACAGGTGCAACAGGCATGCAAGAAGAGGTAAGGATGCAAAGAGAATGGAACATAATAAGATGGGGAAGAGAAGGAAGAGGAATGACGAGGCTGTGTTGAGGAAACACCCAGAGAGGAGAAGATGACCGACAAGTGTTACTGCGCGGGGTCATAGCTTGGCTGATGACCTCCTTCGCTCGCCGTATTGGGCTGGATGGGGTCAGGCGTCTCATATATAATGAGGCACCGATGTGTGAGTATAATTGTACCACTTATGGGCTATTCATGCCCGTGCCACCTCTTGGGTGGCTTAATCTTTATCAATCAATCAATCATGTGAGTATGAGCTGGACTCTCACGCACAAGCTAAGCTCTTCAGCCTTTGACAGAGTGCATCGTGAGAAGCTCATTACAAGGCGAACTAGACAGGCTTTCAAAATGAATGACAGATTGCCAGACGCAGGTTAATGCTGAAAAATATTGTTATGTGTTTAGGTAAGAATAATAGAGTTCTCAGATATGAAATGGACAATGTTAAAATTTCAAAGTCTTAATGTGAGAAAGATCTAGGAATCACGATTAGTCAAGAATCTTAAACCAAAAAAAAAAAAAAATCAAACGGGACACTGGGATTTATTTCTTGAAGAGTTAGCAACGAAACATCTTACATTAGTCCCCAGCTTTATCTTGCCCTTGTTAGGTTCCATTCAC